CGCTCGCTGTAAATTCCACAGCACGCGAGCAACCCGGGTTCTATCCCCGCCGATACCAATGAAATTGTTAATTGCAATTTTAAGTGCTGATTTACCACGTGTTTGGCGGTGAAGGAAAACATCGTGAGGAAACCTGCATGTCTAAGAAATAAGGAAAGAAATATTTCGAAGACATGTAAAGTTCGCCAACACGCATTGGGGCAGCACGGCGGACACTTCCTTGCCATAAAACCCTCCCAGAAATGAGAAGAGGCCTGTGCCCATCAGTGGGACGTACACAGGCTGTAACTTTACCTTTTTTAACTTTAATTATAATAATAAAATTAATTAATATACATAAATAATTAGTCCCTAACTACCTACACATAACATTTCATGGAAAGTTATGTGTAGGTATTTTTCTGTTAACTATTATGACTTGACCTATCACCCGATTCCGACTTGACGTCGACTTCTGGGACATATATATATATATATATATATATATATATATATATATATATTACATTAGGTTACATTAGGTTATGTAACCTCGAATACACAGACAGACAAAAATTCTAAAAAAACACTAATTTGGCTTTAGTGCCCTTTATGTTTAGTCCCATGGAATTGTTTTTTCCAGAATATATTAGAATTACAGACACGACATTTCTACATATTATCCGTATGCTATGTAATATATATATATATATATATATATATATATATATATATATATATATATATATACCTATTATTGCTATGTCTATCGCTACAACAAATAGGTACACAAACGTAGAAAGGACAAAGGAAAATAATTAGTTGTTTATTATGATAGACCTCCCGAAAAATCAACCCTTTTTAATACGCTTTTTATCTTTATTTTTTTTATTGTACTTTATTACTTTATTCGAAAATATTACTTTCCAGCTTCATCTAAATAGATGTCATATCACTGAGAAAACTGTAACTTTTTTCCTAAATCTTAGCGATTCTCGGTAGCTTAGATACTAATTAAATTAACTCGAATAAGAACGTAACTGAATTAAATTCAATATAATATACCATAGTAATTTTTTCTGGGTAGACATATTTTATTTGCATACTACAAAAAAAAACATTTTAATTACCAGCATTTCTAACGAAATAAGCTTAAGAGCCGGGACGAGGAATGTTGGGCCATTGTACGAAAAAGTTAATTCAGGCATGCCTCGACTCTGCCTGTACCTGCCCTTGTATACTTTGAATAATCTAATTTAGCTTCATTTCAGAAAATTTACTCATGTGTAAAAAAACCGGGGATAGATATTATTAGCAAATATTTTCATTATTTCATTACAGTTGCTACGGCTGGTAGGTGGGAGGGTTTTCTACCCTTGTTTTATAATTAATATCAGGTTGTGTATTAAGCCGTGTATCCCATATCGTCCCGTGGGTGTCGTAAGAGGATACATACGGAAACTAAAACAAAAGTTGGGCAGCAGCATCTTCCTGATATGAACTCAAAATAATAAAAAACTGCGTATGCCCACCCGCCTGCCAAGCGTGGCAACATCCTCCGTATGAGGCGATCTATGTAGGAGTCCTATGTTCAGCGGTGGACTTTTATAGTCTATAATGGATGATTAAGCTGTTATCAAGAAGATGCTGCTTCCCAACTACTATTTCAATTTCTTCTGACGCCTTTAATGACATATAAGGAATTATATGGCGTTGTGGATTCCTTTAAATACGCCACTACAGCGAATAAATAATTTAGTATCTGCCAAATTGCAAGTTTAGCCGTATGGGGAAACCCAAGGTAGCTCAGCGAGAGTTATGTTCGGAATTTATTTGCTTGATAGAATTCGAAATGAAGATGTCCGCATTAGAAATGGTAAGAATGTCCGGATCAGTAAGGTGAAATGGTAATAGATGAATTGGTGGGCCATCTACCACATGTAACAAAAACCCTGTGGAATCAGTATTCAAACGCATATATATATATATATATATATATATATATATATATATATATATATATATATATATATATATATATAAAGCCGGAATCGGGTGATAGGTCAAGTCATAATAGTTAACAGAAAAATATACAAAAATAATTTGCTTTCTATTTAAAAATTACAGGCATTTATAAAAAAAAATGAAGAATATGTACAACCTGTGACGGTCTTTTAACTCCTGTTACTACAAATTTTAACTTTTTTTAATTTTCTCTTTGTTATGTAATCCTGAATAATGCTTCTGAAAACTGTTACTTAAAATATGCAGCCAGTTGTTCCAGTCCAGAAGGAAAAGTAATTTTTTTCCCAACCAAGTTTTCAAAATTAATACTTTGCCCAGTTTTAAATGACTGTACTGAAAAAAATTACTACACGTTTGGCAAGTTTGGCAAGTAATTTTAAAAGTTGGCGCATTTAATAAGGATTCCAAAACGATATAACACTTGCAAGATTATTTCTTCAATTAGGGACAATGAAATCTTAAACGTTTTGTCCTTTTTATCTTTTAAATTCGACAATCGGTTTTCCTCGCCTCGCCAATCAATCTAAAGCCGCGTCTCCACCAAAGTTTTGTCGCCGACACAACAGTTGCCAACAAAACTTGTTTCTATTTTAGGCGGCAACATCAAAGGAATACGCTTGTTGCCAACATTTGTTCCCTCGGTGAAGACGCTTGTTGGCAACAGTTGTAGACAGTTGGAAACATAACTGTTGTCAACATTTTTGGTGGATACGCGGCTTAACTCGGACGCCGCGAGGCCGCTCGTTCGCGCTCTGATCCGCTACTGTGAATTTACGTTTATAAACGGTTATTTATTTATATGTAATGTGTTCGTTATCCACATCCCTACAAGAGAAACGGATTCCATTTGAGTTATCAATATTAGATATTGGTACTACTTGCGTTATATAGTTGTAATGGTTTGTTCCAATTTTTTAAATACGCCATAATAATGACAGTCGTCGGTTACGTCGTTAATAAGCAGAAATATATTTTTTATATCTTATTTATTATGACGATCCTATGCCCGTTAAGGCGCTGTGCAAACGTGTACACTTTTTGTTACCGACACGGCACACCATCACAGGCAACCGTAGTTGCTGTGTCAGGTAGGGGCAATCGAACACAGTCGCCGGTTGCTACTTCTGGTCACTGGTAACAATCCGTTGCTTGTTTTCCGTCAGTTTCACCTTGGATGTCGATGGAGGAACATTACCTTTGCTTGTTGTATTCATGTGTAATCACATTGACGTAGATGTCGTCGCCGTCAATATTTACAGGCTAATCAACCACGTCAATGTCAGCACCGTACAATTGTAAGCAAATTTGTTTTGTGTTGCTTGTGTCCTCAACTGACGACTTAAAATTTCTAGTTTGACGGCTCCGTGGTGCAGTGGCTTAGCAATGCGTTGTTGCGCTGGGGGCCGCGGGTTCGAATCCCGCACGAAACAAGTATTTGTATGGCCTACAAATAATTGTTACGGGTCTGGATGTTTGTCCTTGTGCAATTTATTTTTGTATACTGAGAAAATCCTAGTGTGGGGGTAACGTTTTTAAAGAAAAATATAAAAGTTACCTGCACCGAACACTTTTTGGTTAGCGGTCGATATGTTTCAAGTGGAAGCAACTGGACACAAAAGGCGTCTGTGTCTGCCTAAGGAATGGCTGATTTCGTATTGCTAACATGAAAAAAGAAATTCATTGGTAGCTTGTATAATAAGACACAAAAGTGTCTAGGTTTGCGCAGCGCCTAAAATTGTGAAGGGAAAATTGAAATCATAATTCGTGTCATGTAGTTAGTTACTCGTATTAACTTAAGCATTATTAGTAAGCGTTTTTTTTTTATAGGATAGGGTGACAAACGAGCATACCGTCCACATAATGGTAAGTGGTTGCTGTGGCCCATAGACATCTACATCTATCCTCGTTTGCGAATCAAAATGCAGATGCGTTGTCACCCGTGAAGACCCGTGGAATGTTGATGGAATGTTAAGATGGAATGTGGGCCTCTTTTCCAGTAAAAAGGGTCTCCGGTACTATACACTCACCATACGAAAACACAGCAGTGTTAAGCTGCTATTTTACGCTGGTATTCTGTGAGCGTGGTTCTTCCCCGGTCGAACCGACCCATTCGTGCTATAACTACACTACTAATATAGCTGCAGCATGGCTCTACCACGTAAAAAGCGTGTCACTAAGAAAGTAAACAGTCGGCCAAAACTTGAGAAATGAAAACCTGAATTGAATCACACTCAAATACATATAGAAGCGTAGTTGTTGCCCTTAAATCACATTCAATTTGGGATAATTTCAAATAAAAGTAGAAGCTTTATTTACTCGTATTTTCAAAAAAATGTAATGTCGGTATTTAACAATTTATTTGTTTGAACAAAAAATTTGGCTATTCTTTGCAAAAATAACCGTGTATACATACATATGCCACAGCGCCGCGAGGTCGAATACTGCGCGGAATAAGTGTTTGTATAAATGTCATAGAAATAATTGTTCTGGATGTGGATGTTTGTACACGTTCGTACACGTCATTTATGTATGTAAAACGTCTCCACGATACATGAGGAAATTCTAAAGTGTAGGTAACGTTTTTAATTTAAAAAAAATAATTTGAATCTTTAGTATGATTGGTCAAGTAATAATGACAATTGTGCACAAAGTCCTCTTGATGGTAACTTGAATGCTGTGGCTCATACACACTTACATCAAACCTTGATTAGAATGAAAATGTAGATGCGTTATCGCCTATGAGGACTGAGATAGAATGTCTCGTATCCTGGTATTCCGCTAGAGCGTGGTCCTTCTCCGGTGAGCCGACCTATTTTTGCTGCAACCATACCATATTATAATTGCAGAATGGCCCTACATTTTTTTAATTAATTTTTCACGCAGAAGTGCGTGAAAACTTTAGATTAATCTGAACTTATGGAAACGTATCACATGTTTCAAGTTTTTTAAACTCATATTACTTAAGCATCTTTTTATCAGTTAATGTTTGTCCGCAGTACGTTTCACAAGTGGTTAACCGGTCAACTATCGTGACGTGGCCTGCGCCTACAGAGCCACCCGGCTCGAGGAACCCGGCACCGGGCGTGTGCTTGCCGGTCATCGTCACGTTCTGCCAACAGCACCGAATCTCTTACAATTTCACGGTGTTCCCCAACTACATTGGACACTTCGGGCAAAGAGATGCCCAGCAGGTAAGGTGTTGACTTAAAAATAAGTTTATTTCCATAGTCCATGCATTGAAGACATCCTGATATCAGAAGACACTAGATGACATTTTTTAAAAAACGTTACCTCCACTCCAGGATTTCTATCCGGTATCATAGGGGCAGTTTACACACACACACATTTCACACGGACAAACATCCCGACCTGGAACAATTATTCGTAAGCCATACAAATACTTGTTTCGTGCGTAATTCAAGCATGCGAATGCGGCACTATGCCATGGAGCCGTCCAGAAATATTTTCATAGTAAATATTAAATGTGACGTGAGTGTGAATTGCTATAAAGCTTTTCACATGGGGAGAGGGGATTGTAACAATAATAATTCGCCTATATATGTGAAAAAGCGAAGATTACGGATTTTACCTCGTACAATTTTAACCTATTTACATAAATGTAGTTAAAAGAATAGACACGACAAAATTATTTGAATTCAAGAAGTAATATCATATTTATGACGTTCTGAAGTAGAACTTATATATCTCTACGTTTATTTTGCAAGAAAAAGTGTAGGTTTATGAATATGTTACTGCGTATGGGCCTTCGCATTGCCTCGTTAGTCTAGTGGTCGTAAGCGCGACTGATCATGCGGTCCCTTGTTTGACGCCCGGGTCGGGCCCAAAAAAATATATTATTGGGTTTTTTGGCAATAAAGTTCTTAATAGCAGCCCGAAGTCTGGAAGTTGGTTGCGTGTCACCCTCATCATCATCTAGTTTCATTTCGAAAAGCACGTAAACACGTTGGTACCAGTCTGGTCTCTCTCCGGTCGTGTCGGATTGCCGTCCTTCGGACTGTGAGAGTGAGGGAACAGATTGCTCCTGTTCTGTCCTGCGCAGATTCACCGTTGAAACTGGTCACCGTAATCGAATTTCGGCCTGGAGGATATTACTATTATTATGAGCTTTCCCAAACATGCATATGACTTACGATACGTAACGCAAGCAGGTGAGAGATTTTTTTGAAAGTTTACTAAAAAAAATATTAAGAGAATTTTTTTTACAATTGAATTTTCCTGTAATTTTACAATTAAAAATGTTTTATCTAAAATGTAAATTCAAACGCCAGTGACGTCATTACATCGCTTTAATAACGCCTCTCGGGTATTATCGAGAGCTCTACCTCTGGCCGAGGTTTTAGTTTTCCGATCTCACCCACAATCCAGTCCTGGCTTGTCTTATTCAGGCAAGTTGCCAGAATCCAACCTGGCTTGTGGGTGGAACCCAAACATTTTGGTCCCATTCCTGACTGCGCTCCATAGGCCGTCTTAGCAATAGCCTGCGTTAGTGGCCGGTGGACCAGCCGCATCTGCTCCACGCTCATAGAATTCGAGTTGCGAATTACTACACGTGCGGAGCCAGCTACGGTGCTGAAGATGAGCTTTTTCTCCCCCGTTGCCAGCTTCACAGATTTGCAGGGCTAGTCTTTGGGGGTCCTCCTCAGACCGACTGCGTGTTTTCACCTTCGGAACTGGGGGAGGTTTGGGCAGAGGGATTTCGTCCCAGGGCTTCTGGCAGAGAGTGAGAACCTCTTCGGTAAGAATACTTATTGAAAGTCATTTAAACTTTACCGCTGACATAAAAAAAAAATACTTTATTATATTTTATACAATAAGAACGAAAACATTTAGAAACAGCATGGTAGCGATCACCTCATTCCCATAATTATAATCAATCATGTACTGGGAGTCATATAATAAACGTTACTAAACAATATTTGCTTGATTATAAATTTTAAACTTTTTGATAGATAAGTGCTGCATGTTCGAGTCGTCTGGATCTCTGGAAATTACACTCACTTTCAACGTACAGAGTTCAACGATTACATCGCGCTATCACAGGGAACGTGATTCAACATCTAATACAGAGATCAAAATGTGACGTCGTTATAAACAAAGAGATTGGTTGCAAAGCTATTTCGTGATAACGCAGCGTTGTCAGCCCGGAGGCGCTATCAATTAATATCGCTCCCCTGTTAGACTAATTAAATTATTGAAAATCGACATTACACAAATTAATATAATCGAGTACGGAGAAGTGTTATATAGGATACTTTTTATTTCTCTTAAAACATTCTCACCTCATCTCAAGCTCATTCTCAAATATGACGACTCCGTGGCGCAGTGGCTTAGCAATGAGTTACAACGCTTAAGGCCGCGGTTTCGAATCCCACACGCGACACGTATTTGTCGGTCTACAAATAATTGTTCTGGGTCTGGATGTTTCTTCTGATGAAATTTATGTACGTGAACTATACCCACGATACAGGAAAAAATCCTATTGTAGAGGTGACATTATTTTAAAAAAGAAAGAAAACAAAAATAATTCTGTTGCGTTGCAAGATATTTATTTAGAACAATGTATAAAGTACGTGAGAAATCCAACTTGTGATTGAGAGGACATCATGTGACAACATTTCATCATGCTTACAGCAAATGCGTGGAATAAGTTGCCAGTATCTGTCTTTCCATCCGATAACAATGTGGGTGTCGTCAAGGCAAGAGTGAATAGGTTTTTGTTAAGTCAGTGCGCTTCACCATCATCAGCTGCATCACCACTTACCATTAAGTGGGATAGTAGAAAAGCGTGCTTAAAATAGAAAAAAATTGGATTCGTTGTCATCGTTGAGGACTAAGACAGAATTCGTCAATGACAGTAAAAAGGCTCTCTAGTTCTCAATTCAACTGAACTCATTGTAAATTCTGATTAACCGGGGTTAAAAAATTAAACATTTAATGAATGATTTCTTATATTTACGCGAACACTACACATTTAATTTTTTTTTCTTTTTTTTATAGGATAGGGTGACAAACGAGCACACAGTCCACCTGATGGTAAGCGGTTGCTGTTGCCCATAGACATCTACATTTATCCTCATTTGCGAATCAAAATGCAGATGCGTTATCACCCGTGAGGACTAAGATGGAATGCCTCTTTTCCAGTAAAAAGGGTCTCCGGTTCTCTACACTCGCCATAGAAAACACAGCAGTGTTAAGCTGCTATTTTACGCTGGTATTCAGTGAGAGCGTGGTCCTTCCCCGGTCGAGCCGACCCAACTATACTACTAATATAGCTGCAGCATGGCTCTACCACATATAAAACGTATAAATAAAACTAGGTTTACAGATTCTATCGTGCATATTGACTTATTTTATATTCCCGACGTTTCGAGCATTTTACAGCACCTATGGTCACGGAAGGACTGAGGCATTTGAAGTGTCAATGTCATAGCACGGCTACTTCTAAATTAAAAATTATTTACTTTGCGTAGATCGGAACAAAAATTAATAATTTTTAATCTGTATTATATGGTGTGTGGTGTCTCTATCACGTATTATGTGGTTTTGTTCTATTTATTTTTCTTGAAGTTGGTTTTATTAAAAATGATTTACACAGCCCATTGTTTACATCAACCGACTCATACGTTAAGCAGTAATTAAGAAGCATTTCCCGATAAACGCAGGTAATCCGCTATTGGTAAATCCTAAAAGTCCATTATACAATGCTATCGGGCAGCGTAATGGGCCGCATGGGCCCAGCAATTATGTGATTCAATTAAATCATCGAAAGAGAAGCCGCAAACATGACCGCACTAAGCTTAGTCCCGGGAACCGTAACATAGACACCGGCAACATGACATCGACAGTAATTAACGGGTTGCTTTCATCGGAGGCCGATCAATCATTGTCAGTAGGTATAACAATAGTTGGTGCGTTTAACATCTGCCTGTCGGAGTCTCTCTCAACAAAGGGTTATTTATTACGCTAGTTGAAGTCAGCAGTCGGAGTTATATCGGCGAATTCTTGATAGACGCTATTGAGCCATTTCTATCTCAAGAAAATCTTTTAAGAAAGGATGAAATGGCAATTTTGGCACAGAAATATTATCGTAAAAAACAAATCAATATACAAATATATGAAAAACTGCATAAATATAAAAATTACTTCATACGTATCGTAAGAGGCGATAGAGGGAAACTGAAACAAAAGATAGGCAGCGGCATCTTCTTGATAACAACTTGAATTTATAAAAACTCCGCTTAGCAACCCGCTTGCCGTGCGTGACAAATATGACAAAATTCCTCCCTACGAGGTAGCTTGTGGTGAGACCTAGGTTCAGCAGTGGACTTTAATAGACTATAATGTAATCAAATTATCAAATGGATAACTTGTTACGGCGTAAGGCATATCAAAACAGTTCATCTCTCAGCATGAATGGGGTAAGTCACAACACTGATTTTCAGTGATGACCAAAGCTTTGGAGAATACAGTAATAAGGCCCATAAAGTAAAGCGATAATTTACAAACAATAATATAAATCATGAATTCTCCACTTGGAACTGTATCCACCAAGTTTTGAGAGCGTGGCTGTCAAGCATGAATAAAAGAAACAAGTGCTAAATTAAAATTTTGGACAAACGATTTCAATATAAATAAAATGAGAACATCATCAATGTAGTCAGTCAATTAAATACACATTATTAAGGATAACTCAAAAACTACTGGTCAAATTAAATTTATATGGGACTACATGAGGAGCACCAGCTTTCACATAAAAACAGAATCATCAAAATCGATTCACCGAGAAAAAAGAACAATGAAGTAACACATACAAAAAAACATATAGTTGAACTGATAACTTCTTTCTTTTCTTGAAGTCGGTTGAAAACAAGAAAGACTCAAAGAGGAACATTAAAAAGTGTATAAAATAATGATTTCATAAATTTACACGAATACTATACATTGAATAAACCTAATTTTAGGAATTTTTACTGGTATGTTTGTCTGTTTGTGATAAACTTGAAGAAATGAGGATATGGGGACATGCAGATATCAAGTAACTGTACTGTAACCCATAGACATCTACATCTATCCTCAATAAAGACTCAAGATGCAGATGCGTTGTCACCCGTGAGGACTAAGATGGAATGCCTCTTTTCCAGTAAAAAGGGTCTCCGGTTCTCTACACTCACCATACGAAACACAGCAGCGTTAAGCTGCAATTTTACGCTGGTTTTCTGTGAGAGCCTGGTCCTTCCCCGGTCGAGCCGACCCATTCGTGCTACAACTATACTACTAATATAGCTGCAGCATGGCTCTACCACGTAAAAACTGACATAGCTTAATTAACCAATAAGCTGTTAATTAATAAGCTAAAGGATTAACAAGCTGAAGTGGCAATGGGCCGGCCATGTACTCGTAATTCGAAAAACCAACCACCGATGGGAATAAAAGGTTCTCGAGTGGTAATCTCGTACCGACAAGCGAAGTATATGACGGCCGCTCACTAGACTGAGTAACGACCTGGTAAGGTATGCAGGATACATTGATCCAAATGGCTCAGGGCTATGCTTTGTGGTATTCCTTGGGGGAGGTCTATCTTCAGCAGTGGACTTGTGAAGAGCTACAATGATGATGATGATGATGATGATGAACTGGTATAAAGTTTTTTGACTGCAAAATACCGAAAAGCTTGCGAAAAATATATTTGATTATAGAAGTAAGGAAGACAACGATCACATAGTCTATCTAATTGAAAATGGACGCTGTGGCCCATAGACCCCTACTGACTACATGAGAACTGCCAAGATCGAATGCCTTGCCAGTAAAAAGGTCTCCAGTTCTAAACACTCATCATACGAAACATAACAGCATTTAGCTTGCCACTTTACGCTGTTATTCTGTGCTCCGGGCCATCGATCCATTCATGCCATAACTATAATCGTTGCGCCGTGGTGTACCATGTACAACTTTTTCAGGACTTAGAAATATATGATGCTGTGGTGGATGTCCGCTGCTATGAGCTGACTGCCCTGTTCCTCTGCTCACTGTTCGTGCCGAAGTGCGGTCCACTTGGGCACATGGTGCGGCCGTGCAGAAGTCTCTGTCAAGGTAAAAATTATGTACTCATTTTAATTATTTATAAGCAGAGAAAATATACATAGATATAAGAACTAGGTCCTCACTAAAACGCCATGCAAGCCTATTATATGTAACGGTTAGTCGTCTACATTCTTTAAGTTTCTTTTAATTGGCTTCATAAATAACGAGGTTCATTCGTTTCTATTGGTATACTACGTTCTACCGATGTTAGCGCTCACCGTCGGTCGAACTAAATCCAGCCTTAGAAAGATAAAGCGCCCTACCATAATATAAATATTCCTACTATGAACGTAGTACTATTATTTATTCTGTGCTATGAATTTTCCCTAGCAAGTGCTGAAAGTTGCTGCTTATGCAGCTGTAGACTGAGTATCATCAGCTTCCACAATCGCCTTTAATTCGTCATTATCGAGCAAAGTTTGCGGATGGCCACGGGATTCGTTTTTCAGATCAAAATTTCCAGAAAGTTAGCGAGCAAACTAAGAACAGGTGGTGCGTTCGTTTGTAGTATTCGCTCTGTAAACGTCGTCGATGTTGCGTGCCGCTTGTGCCGCGCTGCTGCCGTCGTGGCACGTACACATATTTCATAGTTACTCTAATTTTTAACGTATCCATGATGACGAAAAAGATTCAAATGCTATGAAAACATAAAGATAATCAATAAACAAATGACTGATTTTGAAAAAAGAATTCTATATTTTTTAAATAAAAGTAATTTTAAATTAGAATTCTTGGCCAAACTAAAAGTATTTTGATTTGAAATGGCCAGTACTACTGCAGAGCGGCAATTTCATGGGTAACGATTATTTATCATCAAAGCAACAATAAATAAAAATGCTATATTTCGATATTTTATCCTAAAAATATAAAGACGCGATTATCCGTTACGGTTACGTCTCCATAGCTTGCCTCATGGGGGCGATTATTTGCAATAGATGCCACGGGTTATTAATATTATCAAATCATGATTATCAATTCTACAAAAGTAATATTTTTACAGAAACCATGCGGCGCTGTGGATTTTTTCTCGAAGTATTCGGGCTGTCGATGCCGGATTATCTACAGTGCGAGATATTCCCAGAGTCCACTGACACGGACGTGTGCCTCGGAAATCGGGAGGTCAAGGAGGCGCGGTTCAGAGCCGCTAAGCCGGGTAAGCCGCTCAATTTACCTTTCAATCACTACTGATAGATTCTTGGAAAAACATTTCTGTGTATTCTGTCGCAAAAGGTCTTTCCTCTCTGTTTTTGCAACTATCCTCTTTTTAAGCCACTGAATGAATTTATGTTTTTAAATGTTGTTTTACCTTAATGAGTTTTGTTCGTAGTATAAGTGAAACTAACATGTGTTTCACATGTGACACGTCACATGTTTGTATGCTATGGGTGTACTATGTATATTGTAAGATAAGATCGAATAAATTGATATATATTGTATTATTTATTTCTTCATCAGCCCGAAAAAGTGCATTGCTGATGATTGAACTCTCCCATTGTAGAGATTTGCATTTATCGCAAAGACTAGATATGCTACTAGATCGGCAGTTCAGATAAAAAACTGAAGCCGTGAATCGCACGGTCGGTTAACTGCCACAGCAAATATGCCACGCAGTTTTCATTTACGACAGCTACTGTTCTTAGGTAAATAAAGTTACATACTTATCTGATATGAACTTCAAATTACGTTGGCAAAGTGTGCACATAAATAATAGCAGTGATTTCTTAGTCACATTAAACAAAATCGGTGTTAGAATGTCGAAAAATAATTTAATATTAAAAATTATATACATTCGACTTCAATATAAATTATTAAGAATAATTCAAAAACTTGGTCAAAACTTGATCAAATTTATATGGGGCCACATGAGAAGCACTGGCGGAAAAAAAGAATCATCGAAATCGGTTCATCCATAAAAAGTTATGAGGTAACAAATATTTATAAAAGAAGAAAAAACATGCAGTCGAATTGAGTATCGTCTCCTTTTTGAAGTCGGTAGAAAGAACGTTCGCCATTTACAAAAAAACAAAGAACTAGTCTTTTCGCCTGCTCGCAGTCGACTAAATAAAAATTGACCGGTACTTAGTGCAATGTGTATTAGTATCATAGTGCTCGACTAGTAGTACTCGTATAAATATGCCTTTGATATCAGTGTAACGGCTCCGTAGGGTAGTGGCTAAACATTTGACCGCGGTATTCCGTACAGATTCTATTCACCACTACTATCAGATAGCTTAGTATTACGGAGCAAGTATAGGTAAGGCCTTCAAATAATTACTTGGGTTCTGGATATTTGTCCACTGTTGAGAATGCGGAGTAGGGATTCGAGAAAAGACTACTTGCTCAGTTCCGACTGGCTTATTCTTTTACTTGATGGTTGTTGAAGTCATCAATGCCTATAAAAGCACATATGTATATTATACCTACATATATAACATTGGCGTACAATTTTTTTACACAATTGAAGTGACATACGAACTTACATTCCACCTGATGGTAAGCGGCTCATGAAGAACTGCAACCTAGTCCAAACAATCGAGCCCTACATACGATGTCATGTATGAGGACTAAGATGGAATGTCTGTAATTACTTATATATAATGTTCTCTATAGCCAGCCCTTCAGATCGGATGCGATGCTGATTATAGAATAAGGGAGACAAACGAGCACACAGTGCACTTGATGGTAAGTGGATTCTGTGGTTCATAGACATCTAAATTTATCCTCGATTAAGAATCAAAATGCAAATGCGTTGTCACCCCTGAGGTCTAGCATAGAATGCCTCGCTGCCGATAAATAGGTTTTCAGGTTCTCTACATTCAACATACGATTCTTTCGTAGCAGCATTAATCTGCTATTTAAAGCTGATATTCTGTGAAAGTGTGGTCGCACCCCGGTCGTCGGTTCGTGCTACAACCATAATATAGCTGCAGCGTGGCTCTACCACGTTGTAGATATATTACGCCACGCACCAAATTAATTTCGGTCTCCAACAGTCTGCCCAAGCGGCTTCCAGTGTGACGTGAAACGGTGCATCCCGCATGACTGGCGATGCGATGGTCATGTGGACTGCGCCGACCGCTCTGACGAGCTAAACTGCCGCGTCTGCAAACACAGCGGCGACGTGCACTGCGGCAACCAGCGCTGCATCTCGCAGTCACATCTCTGCGACGGACGGGTAGACTGCCCCTGGGGACAGGATGAGAGGAACTGCTGTAAGTATTGATAACAGATAGAGGTAATGATTTCTTTTATTTAAGTGAACATACAAATTAAAATGAAACTAATTTTTACGGATTTTGTTACAAATATTTTAATTATATACTATAATTTATTTTCCAAACAAAAAATTGATAATTTTTAACTGAAGGTAACTGTGGTTAACTTTGACATTGGGACGTTGAAGACCTGAGTATCGGGAACATAAAATTAGCTGTTAATATACGCAATTAAATCGGTATAAACCAGTTTCATTTAAATAAGCAGTTAGAGGTTTCGTGGATCGTGGTGCTGCTTTTCTCACGCTCATGGATATTTTTTAAATAAAATTCAAAAATGGTAAATGACTACTATAGACGACAGATACCAACTACAAACAAAGAAGGCTACATAGAACGTGCTGTTCTTGGAAGCAGTTAGGAGGGTGGTAATTATCAAACGGACTCCCTTATAGAAAAGAAGTCCTATAACTTGAAGTATCATCTCCACAGTAGTTACATATATCTCGCGCTTTTGACGCTTCACTCCCTCACCGTTTTAGATGTTTTTTTTTTTGGTAATACAGGAGATTTTAGATTGACATTCTGACCTATTCCAAGACATTCTCTTAGGATACTCTGTGAAATAATTTTAGCTATGGATTCTTCATACACACCTACGTAGCCACTACACCAAAAACTATATATTGTCAACACCGAATTCCGGACAGGACGGTCACGACGGCCGATCTTAGCGGAGATTAGCCGTCTATGAAGGACAGAATTATATTGTGTACGGGGATGTGCGTAAGCACAGATACTACACTCGATTCCACTCTCATGGTTCAATGGGACAGCAATCCGACATGACCGGAGAGAGATCAAACGTAGGACCAAAGTCTTAACACATATTCCGAGGTACGAATACTTCAGGCTGCTACTGAAAATTTCTCGATAGAAAAACCCTGTAACTGATTTTGACGTTATTAGATTTATCATTAGACTAACGAGGCAATCACACACACGCGCGCACACACACACACACACACACAGAGAGAGAGAGAGAGAGAGAGAGCGAGAGAGAGAGAGAATACTAATAATAAATTGGCTATTACAATATCAAAAATTTTCATTTTCTTCTATATTACTCGTAATAACAACGGTTGAAAAAAATACTGAGATAACAATATTACTGTAGCGTTTTGTTACACTCGACTACATGGCATACATGTTCCCTATGCCCTCTTATCTTCCAAATGAACTGCAATTTTAAGTTTGGATCTCGGCCAAAAATGCATAGAGATGTATTCGCTGGAAATGGGCGCTGAATTTCTACAATGTCATGATTTAGTACAAACTGCCGTGATAAAAGGAGTTAAGAGAACGGCTTTATTGGTAAAGTATTGTTTGTCTACTTCCAAGATATATTTATCAGAAACAGAAACCGTCTCTTTAATCATTAAATAATTTATTAATTTCAAAAACTTTATAGGTATACTATTTATTTATTTATTTCAAAACTTAACTATTATATTATGGTGTATGCGTATTTATCTTTTTAAATTAGATACATAACAAATCTATACATATAATAAAACTGTAAATAGCAGATGTCTGTACATTTTATATTTTTGTAATAAAAGTGATTGAGGGGTACTAAAAATAAGTAATTAAATACATTTCTACCATTTTTAGAATTTTCTGTCTGTCTGTCTGTCTGTTTGTTTGTTTGTTAACGTATCACGTATAAAGTACTAATTTATATCATAAGAATTGTTAAGGAAATTATAAAGTGTATCTTCGGGTTACATTTAGTCTTTATTTCATTAAAATCAGTTCATTCCATCAAAAGTTATGATAAATATTCTGAAGTATGGGTAGGGAAGTATAGGTACGAATTTGCTCAACGGTGGCTTTGTTTGAGTCATCAAGTGCATTTTAAACTAATATCATATCATAAATCATAGTTAAATTATGTAAAATAATGATATAATTATGTATATCTAAAACGCAGTAAACAAAAGTAATAAAGAACGTATTAAATATATTATACAAAAATATATTAACGTTATTAACTAAATCTGAAGCATAATAGTTAACCCATTTCTTCGATAGATGGTGGTGTTGTGAAAATGTAATGCAATTGCAAATGTGTTTTTTTTTCCTGTAGATGAGTTTTCATATTTACTGCTAATCTTTATTATATTACTCGCTGCCCTACTGCGTGTTGACAAACTCAATTTATTCTTTACCGCCGAGTACTCTATGTGGTAAATCAATTTTTAAAAGAGCTATTAACCATTGCATTGGTTTTGGCGAGAGTCAAACTTTATTTTTTACTTACTGTGCAGGCACAGATTTATAAGTTCTCTTACGTTTTATATAATGTATCAATCGCGTCAATTAATCTCTTTTATTTTTAGAATTGATGATGTTAGCAGCGCCATCTCTCTTTAAATATATACATATAATAAAAATGATGATAACATGTGTCTCTTTCTGTACATTGTATATATATTTTGGTGGCTAAAATCATTATGATGAACTGAAAATAATTAAATAAGAACATTTTATAATTTTTAGAATTGTCTGTCTGTCTATTTGTCTGTTATTATATGAACGCATCACGTCTAAAGTAAACATCTTTTATTTTCAAAGAAATCGTTAAGAAAATCATAAAGCGTATCTTCGAGTTACATTTAATTTTTGTTTTATTAAAATTGGTTAATTCTATCGAAAGTAATGATTATTATTTTGAAATGTAGGTTCGAATTTGTTCAATGGCGCCATAAAATCTCAGAAATAGTAATAAAAAGATTTCTGTGTAAAAAAAACGTTCCATAATAATTAATATATTTATACTTAAAACACAAAAAGAGATAGGATGTTTTCTCACACAAAGGACGTAATAGATGGAGTTGTACAAATTACAAACTTTTCTGAATTGCAGTGTTGAGATTTTTCTCCGATGAATCGTATTGAGACTTACTGAACAAATCTGTATCCAACGAAGCCCTACAACGGAACCAGACCAAAAACAAAAATCTCGCAACGAAATGTCGTGATATTGTATTTATAATATAACTAGATTTAGCGCTTTATTGGAATGTATAGCGCGCATTTCGAAATATAGCACCTAGCGCTTAATCCAGCGCTTTTTGGTGTATTTAGCATACATTTCAGTATTTTAGCGACTAGCGGGTTATTAACTCTTTTATAGCAGCACTGTTAGTCCACATTGCCGATAATAATAATAATGACCTTTATTATTTTTTCCCACAAATAGTACATTGCAGTTTATCTTTTTCAAACATATTTTTTCCACATAACAAAGAGCATGGGAGACGAGTCCAAACTAGGATACCCTGTGCTATGGATATCCTGGCTTCCCCTTTACGATGATCAACTTGATTTTTTTACCGACGACTATAAGCGGGGAAATCCCCTTTATTAAAGTTTTCGTTCATGGTTTTGGCAACGCATTTATTATGCTTTATTCAGTTTCAGTCAGTTGCTTAGAGCACAGCTAAGTTAAAAATTACTTAGAAGTTATAACACAAAGAAACTGTGTAGCAACCGCAATCAGATGCTGACATCTGAAACTAAGTTGCGAAATACATTGCACTTTAAAACAATTAATGACATTTTTATTGTTCGTACAGTACTAACTACTGTTGACAGCAATTGCTATAATTATAAGTCGATGTCCTGCGAAGTATTGATACATCAAAAAAATATTGCCAGAAAAAAAACTTAATGTTGTTTTCTTTATTATGATTATATAAAAAAACACAAACTTTGTTTGTAGTTAATTTAGCGCGAAATCCAGGGCTTTTTTAAAGCGCTGTTTTCATGAAATCTAGCGCTTTTTGTGTTGTCCTAGAGCTGAATGAGTTTTTTTTTATCTGGCAGCACTGCCCAAAAACCCTCTATTAAGAAGTAACTTTCCTTTCAGTTTTAAGCGCGTTCAGTTCCCAGTTACAGTGAATGTGTGTTATGCGATGACCGTAAATAAAGCGCAAGGTCAAACTTTACGCGTTGTAGGAGTGTACCTCAGTACTGACTGTTTTGCACATGGCCAACTCTATGTTGCTTTTTCCCGCGTTAGTAGCCCCCGTAACCTTTTTGTGTATACCCCGGCTAAGCCTACTTCTAACGTCGTTTACACAGAAGATCTATCATAAACGACTTAGAACTTTGATGATAATAATTTATTTTTTTACCACTTATTGATACAGTAATGAAATAAATCGTTTAATATTCTCTTACCTAAACGACAAATTCTTTATGTAAAACCTGTATACGCGAGCTACGCCGCGGGCACAGCTAGTTATATAATATAATGCGAGTATTGTGAACTCACTCAGGTGACAACAGAACAAGTCTATTTCTCTGGATAACAGATTAAGGGTGCAGAGAGCACGTGTCAGGGCCACCACCAGGGTCACCAGGCCACGCATTTAATTTGTCTTTCCTTTTTTGCTGCGGCCACAATGCCGTGATATGGCAATAATTATAGCCATAATTGGAACAACACCTAGGTGTAGCCAAGATTTATGGCCATAATTTGACAATATCAATCAATATGGCGTATGACAGTAGGCTATAATATAATATATAATAGCTCCAGTGGCGGTCTTTTTTGCATATCAAAGACGATTACCGCGGTAATTTTTGCGCCAAGTGGCCCCACTACAGCTTGTTCAGTGTACGACGTGAGCTCAACGGAAACGAATGGCATTCTGTGCATTTATCATCCACCATCTTTCATCTTTCAGTTTTGTTTTAGCTCTGTTATAATTTAAAATAAAAAAAATTGTTCAACCAACTTCAATATAAATTATTAAGAATACTTCAAAAAGTATTGGTCAGACCTTGATCAAATTTATATGGGACTACATGTGAAGCACCAGCTTTCAAATAAAAGAAATAGTCATCAAAATCGGTTCACCCAGTAAAAAATTATGAGGTAACACACATAAAAAACATACAGTCGAATAGAGTACCGTTCCTTTTTAAGTCGGTAGAAAATGTAAAAAATTCATATAATACTGACACACATAAAGTACAACACCGCCGCAGCTTCAACATGTTCATTGTGATATCTAGGTAGACTCTAGTATAACCACTACTTCACGCAGTAATTTAGGCAGTAGTAGCTTAATACCATAATTATTGCGGTAAACTGGTGGTAGACGATAAAATAGTGTGGCCATAGCATTATGCATGGTCAACAGTTGTTGCCGTCATCGTCTCCCTAGGTCTGGGATATTCATGTTCAATTAATAAACTTTGGCATCGCAATATATTTATGAGAATGTAATGTATGTACATAAAAACATAAATAGCTTTCATAAGAATAAGGATGTGCATACTTTAAACACTAGGAACAAACATAAGCTTGTAATACCAGTCACTAGACTCCACAGAATCAGTAATTCATTTATGGGGCAATGTATACGCTTTTACAACAAAATCCCAACATATTCAAAGTTAATTTAAAGAAAAACTGTACAAAAAGGGTTATTATAATATCAAGGAATACATGAATGAAAATAACCCCTGGGAATAAGGTGATCGCCACCATGCTGGTTCTATGAAAAATTATTTAAAAATTGTATAAACGAAATTGTTTGAAAAAAAAGTCCCGCTGGGTTTCTTGCTGGTTCTTCCCAGGACAAAGGTATTTTCCGAACCAGTGGTAGATAAAAAATGACTTTCAATAAGAATTATGTAATAATCGATATTGAATAAAAAATTATTCTATTCTATTCTAATTATTTTGGTATGAGAAAATAAAAAAATTCCCTATGAGTAACTTATAAATATGTGAAACTATAGTAAGTTCTCTCCTAACTCTAAGTTCATTATATCCCACTATTTATTTTATTTTATTATAGGATAGGGTGACAAACGAGCACACAGTCCACGTGATGGTAAGTGGTTGTTGTGACTCATAGACATCTACATTTATCCTCAATAAAGAATCAAAATCTGGATGTTTGTCCTTGTGCAATTTGTGTTTGTATACCCCGGCTAAGCCTACTTCTAACGTCGTTTACACAGAAGATCTATCATAAACGACTTAGAACTTTGATGATAATAATTTATTTTTTTACCACTTATTGATACAGTAATGAAATAAATCGTTTAATATTCTCTTACCTAAACGACAAATTCTTTATGTAAAACCTGTATACGCGAGCTACGCCGCGGGCACAGCTAGTTATATAATATAATGCTAGTATTGTGAACTCAGGTGACAACAGAACAAGTCTATTTCTCTGGATAACAGTGTTTGTCTTGTGTTTGTCCCCACGATACAGGAGAAAATCCTAGTGTGGGGGTAATGTTTGAAGAAAAAAAATGCAGATGCGTTGTCACCCGTAAAGATTCAGATGGAATGCCTCTTTTCCAGTAAAATGGGTCTCCGGTTCTCTACACTCACCATACGAAACACAACAGTGTCAAGCTGCCATTTTACGCTGGTATTCTATGAGAGTATGGTCCTTCCCCGGTCGAGCCGACCCATTCGTGTTACAACTATACTACTAATATATAGCCATGCTGCATATATACTATATATGCAGCATGGCTCTACCACGTATAGAACTATTCACACACACTACTCTTATAATTAATAAGGTAGTACCTATGATGATACATTAGTAATGTATTATCATTACTAATAATATACTATATCATTAGTATGTAAAAATTTGAGGGACGCTTTGTGGCATTCTTTAGGGGAGGCCTATATTAAGCAGTGGACTTGTGGAGAGCTGTAATGAATGGAACAAAATTACAACATTTAATATATGGTATTGTATTCAACGTATATTTTATTAATCTTATACATATGTGTCATAAATATATTAAATATATCCTATTATAAAAATCGACCGAAAACATTCAATAGTTTATAAAAGATTAATGGAAAGCTATTCAGTTTGCGACATAAAGTGATAAAAATCATTCATCCCATGGAGAATTGAATCGTTTGATAAATCAATCCAATTACTCGTGGGACATGCAACAATTTTATTTATTTATAATAATTATTGTTTCTTTTAAAAATATAATTTCAGATTGAGCTGTGGTCGCTTAGTGGACCACTCAAATCATAATAAATTTTATATCGAATTCAAATTCATCATCATCGTCATCATTACAGCCATTCACAATGCCACAAAGCACGGTCGCGAGCCACCTGCATCCATTGACTTCCTGCATGTCTTACCAGGTCGTCACTCCATCTAGTGGGTTGCCACTCGAGAACCTTTCTTCCCCATCGGTTTTCGGTTCTTCGAGCTATATGGCCGGCCCATTACCACTTCAACTTACTAATACGTTGGGCTATGTTAGTAACTCTGGTTCTACTGCGGATATCCTCGTTTTAAGTCTATCACGCAGAGAAACCGCGAGCATAGCCCTCTTCATAGCTCGCTGAGCTTCCTCATACGGCCAGCAGTGAAAAAACACGTCTCAGATCCATAGGTAATCAACCGAGTTGAATCCGTCGATTGACCTCTAGGTCGAAGTTGGACTTAACTAGTCGGACTATTTGTCCCAGGTAAACATACTCGTAAACAACTTCGAGATTAGTGCTCCCAATAACTACCGGCATAGGTGTGACATGGACATTATACGTAACTTTTGTTTTGACCTATCCGTTGGAAGACACTATTGAGGTCATTGAGCATACTACTTAGGTGCTCCAGTGATTCTGCCATAAGGGCTATGTCTTATATATAGAAGGTTGGTGATGTACTCGCCATTGACGAGTGGATGCTGTGGCCCAAAGACACTTTATAGATGCGTTGTCACGCTGAGGGATAAGATGAAATGTCTCATTACCGGCAAGAAAAATTTACGGTTCTCTAAACTCACCATACGAAACACAGTAGCATGAATCTGCTATTTCACGTTGGTGTTCGGTGTGAAGATAGTCACTAAATTGTCATCTTTATTTTTTCAGCCTTTCACAAATCCACTGCGGAACAAAGGCCTTCCCCAAAAAAATGTCACAAAGCACGGTCCTGAGCATCTCTTAGCAGGTGGTCACTTCGGTAACGCGGTACGAAGCCGCTGACCCCTTTGCGCTGCAACCATAATATAACAGCAGCGTATATCTAATGATTTTTATATTTTTACGCGAACACTAACCATTTAAATAAAACTAATTTTACGAATTTTATCGCGTATTTTAACTTATTTTATATCCCCGACGTTTCGAGCACTTTACAGCACCTGAGGTGTATGACGTCCCAATGTCAAAGTTAACCACGGCTACCTCCAGATTAAAAATTAAATTATTTGACACTTTTGAGCATATATCTACCACTAACAACTTTGTTTTCCTTTTATTGCGTGTTTGTTCACACAATCCAATGATTAAACTGCCTAACTAGATGAATTTATCTGCAGTGCGGCTAAGCGAGGCCAACGGCGACGTGGGGCGAGGTGAACTGCAAGTGTACCGCGCCGCTAACCAATCCTGGTTCCCCGCCTGCATCTCCACACTAGATGACAGCACCGCCACCAAGCTCTGCTCCATGCTCGGATATTCGTGAGTCGACAAAGAACTTATTTATGAGTGAAATGTCTTATTCGACTTGTAGTCATTTTTCTCCGTGGGTCAATTCTTAAGCAAAAATTTTGAAACTCTTTTTAGGTGAGTTCAAAAAAGGAAGATGTTTTTAAAAATGACTAAATATTCTTTTTTTATTTTTTGTATCTATGTTACGCGATATCTTGAACGATTTTCTTTTTAATGTGTTCCCGGGGGAATGAAATATAGGGGATGAAATTTTTCATGTAATTTTTGGCGACATTTTTGTTGTATAATGTTACATTGAGCTTAATTCTATTAGACGCTTTTGAGTGGACTAAAGTGGTATACTTTAGTCCACTCAAAAGTGTCAAATAATTTAACTTTTAATAAAAAGTTAAAGTCGATTTCAAGGAAGTAAAAAGAAAAAAATATTCCTACATAATTCATATACAACGTCTTAGCACCGATTTCAGTGGCTATTATGTGAAAATTATTTTTAGTTCCTTGAAGTCCGCTTTTGCATTTTATTAAAAGTTTTAACTTTTCACAGTCTAAAGCTCTTATGTTTCCTTCTTGTTGAATTTTAATACACGTACACTAACGTGCCTTATTCATAGTTTCAAATTACATTTACGTGCAGCGAAAAATTAATTTATTTCTCTCCTGAAGCTAGAACACGGTTCATACTCGTATGTCTTTTTTTTATAGGATAAGGGTGACAAACGAGCACACAGTCCACCTGATGGTAAGTGGTTGCTGCGGCCCATAGACATCTACATCTATCCTCTGTTACAAATCAAAATGTAGATGCGTTGTCACCCGTGAGGACTAAGATGGAATGCCTCATTTCCAGTACAAAGGGCCTCCGGCCACCTGCACTCACCAAGCGAAACGCAGAGGTAAACCTCTACTTCACGCTGGTTTTCTGTGAGGTCGTGGTACTACCCCGGTTCGAGCCGGCCCATCCGTGCGACAGCAAAAGCTGCCACGTGACTCTACCACTGTTAAAAATCAAGTCATGTTAATGAAGTTCTAGGTTAGTCAATGATTGACGTATGATATCTGGATGGAGACTTTTTAATGCAAGATTTAGACCGTAACTGTGTATTACCAGGTCTTCACTAGCCCGCAAACGTCCATAGCCGCGTATTAATCTGCCCATTGTAGGGAGAATTTGCCTCAATCGTAGCATTTGGCGGGCGGATTGACGAATGCTTTACCGTCTCGAGTCTGACGTTTTGAGTCTGTCGTCACTTTAACAGTGATGTCAGGTAGACTATGCAGATGAATTTGCTTGCAGATACACATCATGGACACCTGCAATTAACTTCAAATTAAGACAACTACATATGTTACCTCGGAGGACTAAAGGTCCAGTCTGTAATCATACAGACTCTCTATACCTAAGTGGAACACAGCAGTGCATGCAATTCTAATTGACGGCAGAGATGTATAAGTTAATAAGTCCTAGGCAGAAAAGAACCACTTAGGTCCGTATTAATAAATGTTATTCAACTCAAGTACACGCACCTGAGTACAATATTGAGATTATGATCTTATTAATAAATATATCTCAAGATGCGGTTTAGGTTTGCGATATCAACTGAGTGCCACACTGATTAATAAACGAAACTCAACTTTCAAGTGTGTGTACTTGAGTGCAAGTCACAGAACAATATTCCTAAGTACAGCGTTTTGAGATACTGTTTTTATGTGTAATGAGGGCGTATCAAATGATCACGCAAGTTCGTCGTTGAGTAACATTTATTAATACGAACATTGGAGTACGATACACGAAATCCGACCCTCTAATTGTTGGATCTTTTTAGCCTACGCCCAAAGTCTTAATCCAATGAATGTTTTTACAATCTTATCTACAATTCCACCTATTGGTAAGAGCTGGAAGCGTTCTAGATGGTAATTCGCACGATCTTAGTGTGGACACTGTGATCGTTGGGAAGAGAAGTTGAAAAGACGCTGACAAATTATTCCACTCCATTGCTGTACGCATTACAAAAGAATAAGCAAACCATTTGGTTCGAATACGTGTAATGTTTTTATATATACGTGGTAGAGCCCTGCTGCAGTTATATTAGTAGTATAGTTGTAGCACGAATGGGTTGGCTCGACCGGGAAAGGACCACGCTCTCACAGAATACCAGCGTAAAATAGCAGCTTAACGCTGCTGTGTTTCGTATGGTGAGTGTAGAGAACCGGAGACCCTTTTTACTGGAAATGAGGCCATCTTAGTTCTCACTAGGTGTCCACTGGTGGAATGAAAACGACCATGTGATTCCTCCACAGACTCTGTAGAATGTATCCTGAGGAATACCTTGAAACTGTTCTCTACATATGTGCTCGGGAACCATGGAACATACTAGGTTATTTTGCAATAACCGGTCAAATTTGCAAACAAGGTTCAGAATAAGTAATGTAGACAAATGGTGAAGAAAAATTAATTAAAAAAATCTCAAACTTTATGTCCTTTTATCTTTAAATTCAAAATGCGTAGTAATGCATTATTTTAACTGATTGTACTGCGCACGCACACATACGTAAGGGTCGAGCGGTAGGCAAATACGTTGTTGCCCATAAATCACATTCAATTTGGGATAATTTCAAATAAAAGTTTTTTAGTTATTTACCCGCATTTTCAAAAACTGCAATAAATAAATCATTATTTATGTAATTGAACTTAAGTTTAAAATGTGGCTACTCTTTCAAAAATAACCCTGTATAAGCACTTTAATATATTGTGTACACAGTTTGGTGAACCGGAGCACTACAGTGGGCGGCAAAGGTTATCGCGCCGGTCGCATACACTCGCCGCACATAGTGGCGCCGGAACACGCGTTGCACATCGTACACACGGGGCACGTGCACGGCGTCGCACAGTCGTACCGGGCCTTCCAGCGCCGCGAAGGTGGACTGCTTCGAGAGCTAAAGGACTGCAGGCACGACTCCGCTAGGATACACCTCATCTGCAACAACTACGGTGAGTAACTGCATGTTTTCAATTTGTTATTTAAACATTTGAATCAGTAAAATGTGTGTATTATGTATTATTTAAAAATTGCGTATGCTATGTATCAGGTATATAGTATATTATTTAAGTTATGTATTTGTTTATATGTTCACCTTCTCATGTTCCTCTGATTAAATCCTGTTTCAGTGATAGATAAAGTCTGCCAGTTGTACACTTTATGTGTAATATAGATTTTAATTAAACAAATCAATAAAGTGACGTAACAATGGGCACACAGAGGAATGAGTAAGGGAAGTTTAGGGCGGACCCCTCTAAATGGAGTGACGAACTGGTAAAACATGCAGAAAGTCGATGGATGCACGTGGCTCATAACCGTAGTGTAGCATTCCCTGAGCGAGGCCAATGTTCAGCAGTTGACTTGTGATGGTCTGTTATAGCTATCATGATAGTTGTATTTATTTTGCTACATTTACCATTTTCTTGCCATACTCATTCATATTTGACGGCTCCGTGGCGCAGTGGCTTAGCAATCAGTTGTTGCGCTGGGGGCCGCGGGTTTGAATCCCGCACGGAACAAGTATTTGTATGGCCTACAAATAATTTTTCCGGGTCTGGATGTTTGTCCTTGTGCAATTTATGTTTGTAAACTGCCTCCACGATGCAAGAGAAAATCGTAGTGTGGGGGTAACGTTTTCTAAAAAAAAAAATATTCGAGTGAAGCTAATTTGACAGCTATAGCTATGACGTCACAAAATGGCGGTAAACTGCTCCCGTTGTTATTTTAATTGTATAGTCGGAAATTAAACTTGTAACAACGTTGTGTTTAAATTGGTTAAATGTCGCTAAAAATAAAGTACATAAATATGTCCCAGCACTGGGCACAAATCTACTCTAAGGTTTTGATTGAAGCATAGTAGAGTGCACCGCGCTACACAAATACGTGCTGGGGGATATCGAATTGTTTTCGAAATGTTCAAAGTTTCTTAGACATTAAATCCTTCTCACGATGTCAACGCCAAGCACTTTGTAGATTTTTGTGATTTGGATATACGCTTGAACTAGTTTCAAAACGAACGGAATGGAATATATTCATTATTCTTATATAACCCTGATGACGTCGTAAGGTGGAACTGGTCGATTTTATATCGAGTACAATAAATAGTGGTAGCTTAGATGGTAAGCGCTCGTTTCACAGTACGCGCGCAACACGGGTTCGACCTCCACCGAAACCAATAAAATTGTTAATTGCAATTTTAAGTGCTGATTTACCACGTGCTCGACAATAAAGGAAAACATCGTGAGGGAACCTGCTTGTCTGAGAAATAAAAAAAATATATCTCGAAGAAATGTGAAGTTCGCCAACACGCATTGGGGCAGCGCGGCGGACATTTTCTTGCCCTAAAACCCTCTCAGCAATGAGAGGAGGCTTGTACCCAGCAGTGGGACGTATATAGGCTGCTACTTTTTTACTTTACTACAAATATTGTGAAACTAGTACAAGTGTGTATCCAAATCACAAAAATGAACCTGAAGTTTCTTCAAAGGACAGCAACCGCAAGTGAACCGCCTACTGAGAGGTCCTTCCAAAAATAAAACGACGAGATCGAATCTGAAATCTTAAATAATAATTAACGTTTAACTCACTTCAGCAACTATTAATTATATTTTTTTTATTGAGCTAAGTTAGTGCGCTTTGTTATCCTCTTCTATATCAGCAGTTACCATCAAGCGTAGTAGTCAAGCATTGGATTTTAATAGTTTAATAAAAATAAACTAAAAATAATAAATAAATAGTTTTTTAACAGTGGTAGAGCCACGTGACAGCTTTTGCTGTCGCACGGATGAGCTGGCTTGAACCGGGGTGGTACCACGATCTCACAGAATACCAGCGTGAAGTAGAGGTTTAGCTCTGCGTTTCGCTTGGTGAGTGCAGGTGGCCGGAGGCTCTTTTTACTGGAAATTAGGCATTCCATTTTAGTCCTCACGGGTGACAACGCATCTACATTTTGATTTGTAACAGATGTAGATGTCTATGGGCCGCAGCAACCACTTACCATCAGGTGGACTGTGTGCTCGTTTGTCACTCTTATCCTATAAAAAAAAAAGTTTAAAAAATTAACGTTTAACTCACTTCAGCAAGTATTAATTTTTTTTTCATTGAGCTAAGTTAGTGCGCTTTATTATCCTCTTCTATATCAGCAATTGCCATCATATGAAGTAGTCAAGCATTTTTATTTTTTTTATTTTAAACAAAAATACTAGTAATGCTATTAAACATTACTAATATTCCCTTTAACAACTTCTGGTAAGCTTAAAATGCTTGTGTTAGAAGTGGTTCACGACAGTAGTCGAGTGGCGGATTCGAACCCACGACCTTTCGAGTTCGCGCTCCGAGCCCTGCCATTAGGCTACTGACGCTTCATTGGATTTGAGTAGTTTAAAAAGCTACATTAATTAAACAGCAAAGAAAATTTCAAAACCTATGCGGTACTTCGAATGAAACAAGCATATGATGCTTGGCAGCATATGAGGCGCCCGTTTCGCTGTATATTTGAATAAACAATATGTGAACAGTGTGGATTCTCGCAGGCGACATAAATTAAACTGCAAATGCAAAGCGTTCCAGATGGGACGCGCGTTTTAATAAAGGAGACTGTGCCTTCAACGAACACTTGCCCGGCCGGAGATTTCCGTGGACATTTTGTTTTCAATAAAATTTTCCCAAATTTTCTTTCAATAATTTATATTCAAATATGTTTAAAATTGAAAAAACAAATGTGTTTTACCCAGTCTTAAGAGAACCTACCTCCTTCCCTTCATTGCGTGCACTATCCCCGTCACCACTACTCCTAACACTAGGAAAGAGACACCATCATCGATAGTACGACAAGTTTTTCGCCTCTTAACGAAGCAACATTAGATTTTTTTTATATGATACCCCATACAACTGAAGCTGACAACTAAGATAAAATGACTCGGTTCCAGTAAAATGGTATCTTGTTCTCTATAATAATTACACAAACACAGCAGCATTAAGATGTTATTTTACGCTGGTATTCTGTGATACTAAATTTCAAGTCAATTGGGTGTATAGTTTCAGAGATCTCGTGATGAGTCAGTCAGTCAGTCAGTCAGTGGTGTATGTAGATCATGTGTGTATTGTAGTAAATGTTGAAGATGTAAATGTCGAAGATTTCACTGACGAAAATAAAGTACAAGAAGAGACACATTGCTTCACGTGTGAATATTACATAACTAGTACAATTAGAAGGGGGATACTTGGCAAAGAGTATTTCCCTCCTGTTATACTTAACTCTCGCTGTCGTTACCTCTAGTGTATGTGATATAAATTGTAATAAGAAACTCTGTCGGTATTTGTTATGTTTGTGACCAAATTGATGCAATAATAGACTGGCAGTTTTGAAAGAATAGGAAAACAAATATTTTGTTAATTGGCATAGTGATGTAGAGGATTTTAAAAAGCAATAAAGTGTAATAACGTGTTTCTTTCCCGTTTAAACCAATCAAGCCAAATATTGCTGCAGCATGGCTCCACCACTTATAACGAAACGAAGTTAATAAATCTAAACGTAGTGTTCTGTATACTCTTTGGATTTATTGTAAACTTTGCAGTGAAATTATGTTATGTCCAGCGAACCAGCATTTGCTCGCGAGAGTCAAACAGCAGCTTAATGCTAATATGTTTCGTATGGTGAGCGATACGTGGCATTCCATTTTCGTCTTCAGGGGTAACAACGCATCTGCATTTTGATTTCTAATCAAGTATAAAAAAATCATCTTATGTGTCTTTTAGCGGGATAAAAACTATCCTATCTCTCAAGATGGACCAAACTGCACACAGTATGCAACATATCATTGAAATGGGTTCAGTAGTTTAGGAGTCCATCGCGGATAAACAACGTGACACGTAATTTTTATATATAAAGATTAACGATTCAGAGACAAATTACGTCATATTTTGTTGACCGAGTGGATATCTGTCAACGAAAAAGTTGAAGAAACAGGGCTGAATTGATTTGCACTTTAATCTTCCTTTCATTCAACATCCCATTTATGTGTTGTTGTAATTAATCCAAAATTTTATTCCTTTCATCCAATTCCATCAATTTCAACATATCTCTAGAGTTTGAGCTCAGTCTATGGTGTGATGAAATGTAGTGTCTAAATATAATTAAATATAAACCATGTTCGCTTGCAAAGGTTAGTTATGAAATTAATAGAAAGATAAATTCAAGTTTGTGCCATTGTTTGTGACCAACATGCACTACACAGCACATCTAAACATGTAACATCTAAAAATCTAAACAGGTATGCCTAAACATATTCATTTTTATAAGTGAAAATGTTTAGGCATACCGCTTCGCAAGGAGACGGACGGGTTATATCGGACTTACCCGTCTAAAACCCCGTATTGTCTCACCTTTGCCGCATATTGGCAGGGTCACGGGAACGCTTTAGCACACATCCGCGGCACCACTCGGCGGTCGATCGCCACGAATGCACGTTTACCCTTGAGGACTAAATCCATATTCCTCACAGCCTTCAATTATATTTGGAACACAATAGAAGGTGTACTGCTTCTTGATAGTAAATACGTTATAGATTGTTGTTTAAAACTAACACTCGAAATCTATACTCTATGAGACAGAAAAGGGCAGAACAAAGTTTGTCAGCCTAAATGGTATAATATTCACAATTTAATACACGTTTTAGAAAGGAAAATGAAGGTACGAATTATACACTTCATCACTTTACAACTTTTCCGTAAGTTCTTATTATAAAAAAAACTTTGCCAATAACTCAAAGTTCTAAGTGCGTCATATGTTTATCCGACGAGGCGGTCACGTCGCAACTAAATTAACAAAATTTTCTCACGTTTAGTAAATTGCTTTTGTGAAGTTCCATACGGTAAAATAAAACTCAATCACTACAGCAAAACGAGTTCTAAGTAAGCTATTTTTTGACTCCCGTGATTTTGTTGATGATGA